TATATATATATATATATATATATATATATATATATATATATATATATATATATATATATATATATATATATATATATATATATATTCTCATCTTGATGTATATATCTACTGTTATTGAAGTCAACTTTGTCATACCCCTAACTTAATGGAGCCGCTGGTTTTGAATTCCCAATCTATCACGTAGTCGTAGTTGCCAATTGCTGACACCATTCGTACGACCAGGCTCACCTCCGGCCTCACCTCCGTGATCTACAGTAGAGTATATCCATCAGAAGAATCGAGTGAATCCTGAGACCTTTACCTGTGTCCACAAGATGGAGAAATGGTTTCGATCACGACGAAGCTATGTCGACTCACCACTTGCCCAGGAATCCCGAACTCGGTGTGCCGCCACGAGGCGTCGCCGGAGTAACGCTCGAACACACAGAAAGCATTCGATTGCTTGATCGGCAACCCGTCTCGGTCGGTGATGTACGCGTCCATGAATGCGGCATTGGCCGGGCAGTCGGTCATGGGCTCCAGCGGTGCCGCCAAGAGCCCGAAGCCGAACTCGCCGACGTCGAAGAAGGTTTTGTAGTACCATTCCTCCGATGGGTCCATGTACGGTACGAATATCTCCGATACGTAGCCCCTGTGCAGGACTCGCCGGAAGATTCCCTTCTCGGAGTCCTTCACTGATGCTAAGGAGATGACTGTGCCGGCTCGGACGTCGTAGCCCAAGTGGAATTCCCAGTTGGCCCACCTGCAAACGTGTGGACAAAAATCCATCGATGAAGCATTTTCCAACACAATGTGACATGTTCTTGCTATTTATTGTATTCCGATAAAATTGTTGACCAAGTCAATGCAAGAAAATTCCAACAATTACATGCATAGATAATATATTTCTATCGGTTCACTTATATTATGTGATAGGAAAATGTTCATGCAGGAAACCTATCAACTATTGGCTCACGATATATTGCTGTCATACGTAAACAGTGTTGAACAGATACCTGATCATGTGGCCATCAACTTCGAAACCCTTCCCTTCGGGCTGCACGATGATGCCGGGCTTCGTCCGCGGCCCTAGCGGCGGCTTCTGCTTCGCGGCTCGGTAGTCCGTCCCCGTTGACCCCGGCACCGGCACAACCATCCGGTCCTCGTACTCCACGATCTCCATGGCGTCCAAGTCCACCACCACCGTCACCCCCTCCAATGGCCTCGCGTAGAAGTTCACCGTGTCTCCCGTGAGGAAGCACTGGATCTTCAGCAGCCGCCTCCCTTGCTTCCTCTCCCCGAACCACCCCACCGAGAAGGTCGTGCACAGCACGTCCTCCGGCTCCAGTCCCCGCTTCTTCACCGACTCCACGAACGGCGCGTAGTCGAAGGGCAGGGCGGAAGCCGCCTCTTGCTCCTCGAAGTTCAGCATGGGGTAGCCGAATCCCTCGTACACCTTGTCGGAGACGATGGAGTGGTTGGTGATGTCCACGTATATCTCGTGGGTCTTCTTCTCGGACCGGACTATCACGAACGCTCGCCGTGGCGGCGCTGCCTTGTTCCAGCGGTGGGTCGACGCCCATGCGAGCACGTCCGGCTTGTCGAGCTCGTCCAAGCCGACATAGTGGAAGGAGAGAGATTTGGATGAGCCAAGGTGGGAGGACTTGATTATGTTGCTGACGGCCGAGATCTCGGAAGGGGTGAGAGGATCGAGGGGATGGCAGTAAATGGAAGCCGGCTTAAGAGAGTGGAGGAAGACGAAGACGAAGACGAAGACGAGGAAGGAGGAGGAACTCAGCTGTGGATTCATGTGGGTGATTCAAGGCAGTGATGGTGCAATCGCAATAGAATTAATGGGGACTTAAATGAAGCTGGACTGTTGACTTGAGAGCTTGACTGCAAGCAGGACGTCAACAAGATGCAAACGTCTGAGCCAAGCTGTTAGAAATGTCGTATATGGTGTGCTTGGAAGTATATTAGTGCACGTCCTCTGACTTCCTGCATAGTCGTAAATAATTGCTAATAAACTAACAAATGATGAAATCTTCCATATAAATGAGACAATAAATATACTTATCCTGTTAGTTCTATTCATTTGAGCTACCATCACAAGAAAGAAAACAGGACAGTGGGATCGATCGGCTACCACAGCATTATTATCTTGAACTTGTTCAGATGTAGAAAATTCTTTAGAAGACTACTCTTTTGGACGAGCATGGGGAGGGTCATATCGGATGATGGATCAATTCCCAGCTGTAGTCTCCTAGGGATGCTAAAATCTTCATTAATGACCTTTAAATGACAGGGAGTGAAAGATCTATCAAGGTATGAAGGCAGAGTCCATATGCTTTCATGTGATGGAGATGAACTCAAGCTGCATTACATCCGAGCATCCAGTCGGAGAAGAACACACCCCATTGCAGTGAATGTTAATTGTGTTTCAACACCTCTAGTTTGGGCCTTCTGCACTTTTCCAAATTATGATGATCTGATATATTTCAGAGAGACCAAATATTGAGACTCATATTTTAGCTGCATAAAATTTCCATTCTAAATAAACTTACCCTGTTTCTACATAATTATCCTTGTATCACAACAATCACTATAACAAAGATCAAGTTGCAACAATTAAAATAAGAGCCCCTTGATACATTTATAATGATTGAAAACCATGCTCAACATTAATCTAGATCATTTTGTTACAGGTTCCATTGTTTTGTTGCAGGTTGAGGTCATGCATCTTCAAACAAAGTGCTACGAACAGAAATCACTGGTCCATATGATCTGTGTAATCTCTCCAGAATACCCTCTCTTCGAATTCCAGCAACCATGAGTAATACAGCATCAAAGAAAGCATAGGTGCAAATGGTTATAAGAAAAGATTTGTGTTCTTGTCTTGGTTGGTCCTGCATTCAAATCATGTGTGGATTTGGAAGATCCTGAAAACGCCATTTCATTCAACCTTCATTTGTACTTCTCAAAGAAAAGCGACTCCAAGTTCTCTAAAGATGGGCATGTGATAAATGCAAAGACCAACTCTCTCTCGACAATTTGAGATGCTCCTGTGATCTCTGTTCATTATGGATCCTACTGACAACATGAGGAATCATGCCATTGATGCATTATTCGTATCGCGATGATGAGTCACTACCAGTTTAGGTTGACAGTGCTTCTGCTTGCATCGTGGACCAGTTCTAGAAGCAGAGCAACCCTCAGAAAGAAAACGATATGAAGCCAAAAAAGGGCCTAATTAGCTGATCTCATTTCTTATCATTGGAAAATAGGCTGCTCCTCTGTTCTGATCCGAAAGAAATTAACACAGCACAGCATGTAAAAGTTCTCCATTGATTTACGGTGTAGAAAGCAGGAAATAGCTTTCCTGATGAAGTGAGACAGAGAGAGCTTGAGAGAGAAGAGTGGGAGGTGGAAAGTGACACGGTACCAAGACAATATGTAATCCATGATTGTCCTGTAAGAGCATGGAATTCTTGTGGCAGCAGAAACTGTGTCATAGGCTTCACCTCTGTCTCAAGCAAGCCTATTACTTAACCCTCCAACTTCCCTTCCCCTCATCCTCACTCTCCCTCTCCATTCCCCCTATCACCAATGAAGAAATAGTGCACCTCTCATCTCCTTCCCATGGGGTGGCTTCAGTCCCTCTTCTCTCCTCTGAAGAAGCTCTGGTTTCGCTTGCATTCTGCTCGCAAAAAGAGTATGTCAATGTTCTTCTACTTCATGCTTCTGTTTGTGTAGATAAATCATTCTTAATAGTTGCTCAACAGTAAGGACTACTTGGTATTCTTGGAGCAATTCTTTGCCTCATTAGAAGTTACAATTGGACTTCTCTTGCACTGACAGATAGAGGGATATACATCCTCTACGAGGATGTGAAGTCATGCCAATGCGAAGACGTGCATATCTTATGGTCGATCCTCGTCGAATCGCAGCCGTCGCCATTGCGACTGAAGCAGTGAGCCCCTGCTCATGAATCCATGGAAGAACACCGGAGAAGACGACGAGGTTTCTGATGTGTGTGATTGTATATACATACTAAATACAAAGATAAATGCACAGGTCATGAGTGAGGGTGATGAGCTCCTCCCGTGCCTCAAATCCTTGTTTGCAGTAGTAATATCTGATGTATTCTGTGTAATACACAAAAGAAAACATGACAGGGTTTGGTAGAAGGCTTGTTTTCTTTTCCTTCAAATCTGATGGATGTCCACTGTGGTTAGCTGTAGGGTAGCAGAGATTTCATTGTCACCGTGTTTCTGACACTGCATGAGGTGATATATTTCTTTGCATCATACGAACTTCTTATATCCAAGATGTGAGATGTATGGGGAAATTTTCCTGCATGAACTCTAAAATAAGAGGAAGTGATGTGGACAGTGCAAGTTGTGATGGGTCACTGCAGCTGAAGTGAAAGGGACTGTGTTCTTTTTGTCTGCAGACCAATCTCTTCTCCCCACAACAGCATCTGCAACTCAAGTTGCATGGTTACGGTTAAAAGGTCAAGTGAGAAAGCCTAAGAATTGAAGCAAATGCAGAGACAGATTGATAGGAAACATTTCGATGACAGTCCACCAGCTGATCGCCACCAAAAAGCTGATATAGAAGATAAAAGGCCCATGTCATCCCCCTAGATTGGCGATGGTGCAGCAACTTATCGACCATCGTGGATCGCAACCCGCGGGAAATGGTACGAGTTGATCGTTGGGAGCAATAATCCTCGAACGATTGAGCTGACCTGTGCCCCCCTTTCGTCGGCTCCTGCAGATAGCTCATAAGGAGCTATTCAACTCGACCTTGTCAACCGTCAGAGTTGACAGGAGGTGCCCCTTTTTGTTATCCCTTGCTAATGATGCATCGCAGCAAGCCATATAGATTAGTCAAGCTATAGAAGGAGGACGTATAGATCAACCGTTTATCAACCGTGGCCCTCCCAAACTTCTTAGGTATAAAAATCGGTCCTCGATGCCTGAACAAAGATCGGACCTCTATACCCTAAAACCTCATGTCTTCATTACTCCACATAGCTAACTTGATCGTCGAAGGGGTCAAATCAAAAAATCACATCCGCCTCCGCCTCCCCCTCCCCCCTCCACCCTTGTGACATCAACCTTTTGTGCAAAACCGTCGAGGAGTTTGAAACCTACCCCAACCTAATCGTGGAACAACTTTAGAACCACTTCAGCCAATGCATTCCCAACAGAGACCCTTTTGCCCGACCACCGGGAGGGCCATCTAGATGGGTTTGCACCTTCGGGATAAGATGAGGCCATGTTGGCCACTGGTTGACAGCATCAAAGTGTCAATATTTTGATGCTAGAAGGAGGGCTCAAATGTCATAAGACTGTTTACCTACAAACCCCCTCAATGAGTGCTCTAGTGTGGAGGTGTTGCCATCCATACATAATACCTTCAAGCAAGAAGGGTAATTACCCTTCTTCCCATAAGTGGACACGTCCACCTCGGCCTAGACCTTGGGGTGCTATTAATGCTTATTTAATGACCCTGGGCTCTCACCTCTGGGGATGAGTATGGGGCACCTAGTTATCCTTGTCGAGACCATCATAAGCCTCACACACCAAGTGTAGACGCTAGTTGGGATAATGTAAACCATTGCCCCCTCCACAACTATGACTAACAATCTAGCCCTTCTCCGCTCCAGCACTCCTAAGGGCTCTCTAAATTGATCTACTATCAGCACCCTTGGATTGTCTCGGGCCAATAGAAATGTCGGTCAGAGTGCCACACTCCCTAATAGTGAATTTTTGCTCACTCCCGCACCATAGGCCAATCTTGCCCGAGTCAAAAACCTAATCAACAGACTCGATGGACGACTCACTTAGGGCCCAATTATAGCTAATGAATCAGCATCTAAACGAGGTGCAAGGAGAGTTTCAGCACTCAAAAGGGGACGCCAACGACCCTATCTCGGGTAGCTCTCCATTTATTTAAGGCATCTAGGAGAAGCTCCTCCCGACCAACTTCCACCTCTCGATGTTAGAGACCTTTAATGATAGCTCCAACCCAAGAGAACATATCGCAGCCTTCTAGGTCTAAATGTGGAATGTCAAACACTCTGATGTGTCAAGCATTTCTGACAAAACTAAGGGGCTCGACCCGAGAATGGTATAGTCATTTGAAGGCGCTCTCGATGTCATCCTTCACCCAGTGAAGGAATTTAAACTCCATTTCCTCATGAACATGCACCCAAAGCCTTTCACGGCAATACTGCTTAGAATAAGGTAGAAGGAGGATAAAATCCGATGGGTTTAAGATGCTTATCCCTCGTTGGTGGTATCTGATGGACCTCAGACACTTGTGGTTCTTTTAATCATTGATGAAGAGGTCACTTACAATTATTCCTGAGATGCTCCAACAAGCTAACTAATATATAGTTGCGGAAGCAATGATCTTGGGCCAATATGAGGAGTCCCACATGAGGTCATGCCAAGAATCGTCTCGACCACCTATCTCAGGTTCACCGTAAAAAAGCCACAATCGACTCAAGATGTCTCACCCGCGATCTAGCTCAACCTCCCTGGCTCGACCACCATGAGGGTTGATATGGGAAATAATGGCGACGTGACGTGTCACGTCGAAAGCCCCACGTGGGTGCCACTCTGCCCAATGAGGAGAGCCATAACGCTGATTCGACTCGCGTTAGCAACCCCCGCTATCAGGCAACGGCTTCCAACCCCGCACGATTGACCATGGCAGGGCAGGATGACTACCGACCCTCGCCCATACCCTGCAACGCTCCCGTCCTCCACGCAACGTCAGTAACGGTGTCAGACGCCATCAGAGGTGCGACCCTGCCTAACACAGGTGGGCACGCCAGGAAACGGTAAGCTTCCCTACAAATACCCTCTCTTTCATTAGGAAAAGGGGAGGCGGGACACACCCCAAAAGTACTACTTCTCTGGAAACCCCCTCTACGTCTTTCGCTAACTTGATCGTCGGAGGGGTCGGGTCGAGCCTCCGACCCGACCAGTGTGCAGGTGCGAGACGAGGTTGCCTCTTCCCAGACGCTGTGGCAGAGCTCACCCCCTGACGGGACATCCAGATCACCGCGGTCGGCCACCCGAAGGACCCGAGGCACGCCACGCAAGATCCCCGCTATTCGGACCCCTGAACCAGCCGCGTCGACCCTGAGGTCACGGCTAAAAAAGTTATTTACCATAACAGATTGGCGCTAGAAGGAGGGCCTCCGAATGTCGATCGATCAGCAGACCCACTTGGGCAAACCCGCAACTACGGGGTCGCGCCCGGCTAGAACCCCGGAAGATCATCCCTCCCGGGAGGGGCTTCGAGACGAACGCCCCGCCACGACTTCGGAGCGATACTGGCGGCTGTTCAACGACCCGGGCTTGTCGCCACCCGATGCCCCCGTCGGCCCACCACCCGTTTCGCCCGAAGCCTTCCACGATCTCGCCCACCAAGTGCGAACACTGGCGGGCGTGGTACAAACTATCATCCCGCTCGTCTCCCAGCCAACGCCCCCACATGCAACCCGGCCTTTGCAACAGCGGGAGCCCGACCCCCGGATGCACGTGTCGCTCCCCGAGCCCCTTCTGTCGCCTCGAAACCTAACGGCCCTGCTCGGGGACCGGGAGGCGGAAGGCACGTCGAGCCGCCCGGAGCCCGAACGACCGTCCATAGACCCGACGAACACCCTGCGGGCCCAGGTGCGTCTCTTCAATCAACGTCTCAACGAAGTGCAATAAGAGATTCGCAGGACAAATGGGGAGCCCGGGGCGGACGGATACCAAGGGTCCCCGTTCGCACCCGAAATACAAGATCAGGCCATCCCGTCACACTTTCGGCTCCCATCCCTGGACGCCTATGACGGCGCCACTGACCCCGCGGATCACGTAGCCGCGTTCTGCGCCCAAATGGCGCTATACGGGACTTCCGACGCCTTAATGTGCAGGGTGTTCCCGACAACTTTGAGGGGATCGGCCCGCGCATGGTACGACGGTCTCAAGTCCGGGTCCATCACTTCCTTCGACCAGCTCGCCCGGGACTTCGAGCTCAACTTCCTCGCCTATGCCCCCCGAAGCCATCCGTGGCGCTGCTCCTCGAGCTCAACCAAAGGGAGGATGAGTCCCTCTCTCACTTCTTGAACCGCTTTACGACACAGATCCGAGGACTCTCGGATGCTCACCCCTCTCTACTGATGCAGGCGTTCATGATTGGCTTGCGGCCCTCAAGGTTCTTCTGGTCCCTAGTAGAACGACCTCCTACGATTGTGCCCGAGATGCTCCAGCGTGCGAGTCAGTTCGTCGCCGCGGAAGCATGGATGGCCGGGAGGCCCGGGGGACACAAGGGGACCAAGCCAGAGCCGCCTCGGCAGCAGCAACCCGCGGCATCTCTGCGTAGATTGGACCGATCCGACCCGCCTACTCCGAGGCCCCCTCTCCCAGCCTTGAACTCGTCCCAAACAAAAATATTCCTTCACATAAGGGAAAAGGGGCTGCTCAAAGAGCCATACCAAATGAGAAGTCCACGGGCTCTGGCAGACCAGTCGAAGTACTGCCGCTTCCATCGGCAACATGGGCACGACACTGAACAGTGTCGGGAGCTAAAGAGACAGATCGAGGAGCTCATTCGCAGGGGACACCTCGGCCAGTACCTCCGCCCAGATAAGGAACCTTCGCCATGCCCAGAGTGCCCCGTCGAGCGACACATCGACGTAATAACAGGAGGCCTCGCGTCTGGTGGGGATTCCATGACCGGAAGGAAGGCGTACGCTAGAGCCGCCTCGGCCGAAACCCCTGGACACGCGCCCGGGCCTAACGTCACCTTCCCGGCTAGAACGCCCGAACAAGCCGAGCACGACGATGCGCTCGTGGTATCAGCCAGGATCGCCAACGCTCAGGTGAGGAGAATCATGGTCGATACCGGGAGCTCGGCCGACATACTCTACTACGACGCCTTTCAGAAGCTCGGTCTATCCAGAGACAATATGAAGCCGATATCCTCGGCGCTCACTGGATTCACCGGTGATTCAATCTCACCACTAGGGGCGGTCACTTTGCCCTTAACCCTGGGAAACCCGCCAAGGTCGAAGACAATAATGACCTCCTTCTTGGTAATCGACCTCCCCGCCGCGTACAATGCCATTCTCGGTCGGTCGACCCTCAACAAGATCAGAGTCGTCATCTCGACCTACTACCAAACTGTGAAGTTTCCGACCGACGCCGGGACCGGAGAGATCTCAGGAAGTCCTCGGGAATCCCGGCGCTGCTACCTGACCGCCGTCTCGTTACACAAGAAGGCCAGGACTGAGTCGCC